AAAGAGCGTGAGGGAGAAAACTAACCAGGGGGGAACATAGCCTGTCCCAGCTGGGGGAAAATAAATGTAACTTCACTGAAACCTCATCTTCAGGTTGCAGTAACTGTTATGTAATTAGTTCAGTTGTGAAAAACGCAATGTTTTGACTATGGATGTTAGGCAATTTACAAGCCCAATTTATGAACTGTCCATGAAACACCATTTTTGATAGCAGGTAGTAAAGTAATGCTAGTATTTTGGTCCTTGTAGTTCATTCATGGTTTAGCTAATGTTAGATCAGAAATTATGGCTGCTGAGGAAGTAGAACCCCGTGAATCCTGTTACTTCGGCCATGGGACTGGAAAGGCCCAGCAAAAAGGTGGAGTAGACAGCTGAGAAAGGCAAAACTTCATGAACTCTGCTAGCAGTCCTGGTTCAGCCTCTTTTTCTGCCCGGGCCCTAGCAGTACACACAATGAAAAGCAGGTTCGTCAGCTGGCCCACAGTAAATCAGTCGTGTCCCTACACAAAGTCTGCATTTTGGATGGGAGAGGAGGCATTCATTACTGCAGAACTGAGGGATTCAGAAGAATAGAAGGGGAGGGACAGGTATTTGTATTGGCCAACACGTTCCTGCCTACTGAAGGACATTAGACACTTCTCAGACATACTTACTGGGTAGACCTTAGGTTGAAGGTAACAGATTTAGACTGCGGCAGTCTTTATTCAGAAGAGGTGTAACGTGCTATGCTCTGGGTGTGAAGCCAGAATTCAGCATTACTTTATGTCTGTCTGAACAGGCTTTACACCGCTGGCTTATTGGTGATGGCCTACAGGATGAGTTCGGTTCAAAATCTGCAGGAAGAAAGACCCAGTGAAGATGGCAGTGGTGGACGTAACTTTGGTTTAATACCATTCATGGCTGACAGGATTTTCCTGTATTTTGTATTCTGGAGATGAAAAAGAGGCAGTGAAGAGAGGGAAGAGATAAATTATGCCAATGGACATGGCTCTGGCAGCTCCTCGGGCAGTTGGGAGATCCTGTGGCCACGCTCAGGCAAGGGAAGCAGTTCTGCCATCACAAGAGGGCCTGTGGGCCATGGTGAGTCCTTGGTGGAGGACAGAGTTGACTGCCTTGGCACAGCCTAGGCTTTTCCAGCCTCCAGGGTGTTACACGGCTGGGAAGTGCCCTGAGGCCTGTGGCTACCAGAAACAGGCCCTAGGCCTGCAAAATCCTTTGTTTTGCTGCCTGTGGCCCAGGGCACTAGCACCTGCAGAGGCAGCTGAGCTCGAGCTCAAGCTCAGGGGGCAAGGAGGGTCGTTTCTGGCCCCAAGCGCTAGGCTGAGGGTTCCTCCCGC